ATATATGTATATATCTATCTACCTATATATATATATATATATATATATATATATATATATATATATATATATATATATATATATATATATATACATATATATGTATATATCTATCTACCTATATATATATATATATATATATATATATATATATATATATATATATATATATATATATATATATATATATATAAATAGTATTGCATACTAAGGTAAGCAATCTGACGTCATACTGAAATAGCCTGCTGCTGGGGGCTTCAGTACATACATCGACTGACAAATAGTCTGACACGCAGTGGAGTGCTGCTACATCGACTGAGGGTTTGGGATGGAGTAGCAATCATTTCATTCATCACTTTTCGTTTTTTTTTCTTTTTCTAAAAAAGCCGTATGGATTAAAGTAAGCAAAAAAAGTGACCAAATGCCTATAAAAATACGCTTTAGTAGGTGTGTGTATATATATATATATATATATATATATATATATATATATATATATATATATATATATATATATATATATATATATATATATATATATATATATATATATATATATATATATATATATATATATATCTATATATAGGTACCCTCGTACGCGTCCGTTTTTTTATTTTGACATCGCTTTTATAAAGTTTCTGGATTTCCGTGTTTTTCCAAACTACGCTATATGCATAAAGGAAAGAGTGTTTAAAAGCTAGCTAAAAAATAAACTGTCAATTTTTATTATATTATTTCGTTTAAAGTGAAGGTTAAACTTGTTTATAGTTATACAATTTTTAAAAAATTGCAATTTTTTCACTGTTAACGAATCCTACCAAAATAGGTAATTTTCATATAAAGAATTTAATATACCAATATAAATGCTCATAAATGATTTTGACATGCTCAAATAAACTATTTATAGATCTTTCATTTGATATATAATAACCAATACTTCAAAATCTCCTTCATGTTTAAAAAAGATGCATACAGTTGCTACCGCCAAACAATTTATTGTTTATAGCGTCATTTTTTTAATTATTGTCATTGTTGCTTTTTATTTTTCTTTACTTTAGATGGACCACAAGACTGCAAAAGATATTTGCGTTTTAATTAATTCATATAAATGCCAATTTATATGAATTAATTAAAACGAAGCCTTTGTTAAATGGTGACATTTACAAAATTTTTTCTGAAAATAATTTCAAATTATCAAAAACTTGTCTGAAATTAAAAAAACTGAACATTGGACCTCAAAATGCATCTGATTTTAAAATATTCTCCAACAATATAAGATACTTGCATAAAAAGATAAAAATCTTTAAAAAAAAACCTACCCAGTCATGGGCTGCTATTTTTAATTTTTTGCAGCAACCATTTAAATATGAAAGAAAAAGAAATAGTCCTAATACAAATATTCACTTAAACGTTGCAAGTGATTTAAATATTACTTCAGACACAATGCAGAAAGTAAAGTGTGGTTCATGCAAAATTAAAAAAGATGAAATACGTAGTTTACAAGAAAAAAACAGAAAATTGCAGCAGAGAGTTCGTTTTTTGAAAAAATCAATGACCTGTAACAAGCTTACAAACAAAAAATTTAAAAGACAGTATTTTTCACTAAATTTGTGGAAATTGAAATAATGAGAAGAAAAAAAAAAAAAAAAAACAGTTCAGCAGAATAAGTTTCATTCTCTAGATTTCATTAATGAATTGAGAATTCTTAAAATTAGTAGAACGAAGTTGCAACAAAATGTTAAAAAGATAGAAAAGAAACACAAAATTGCAATCAAAGAATTACAGGAACAGATAAAAATCAAAGAGCAAGAAAATAAACAACTTGTAGAACAAAATCATTATTTAACTAGTATTGTTTTAGAAAAAAAAAAAGATAATAGGCTACTTATAGAAACCAAAAAATTAAAAACATATGACCTACCCGTAAGAAAATGTGTTTATGCTGCTATTATTAACAATGTGCCTGTGGAAAGTGTCTCATTTTTGTTAGAAAAAATTTCTGAACTGTTACACAACACAGAACTGCAAGAAACACCTCACTCATCTACAGTAAATCGAATGGCATATGAGCCAGGTGTTTTAGCATTGGTTCAGGCTGGTGAGACACTTTTTCATTGTGAATGTGCAACAGTAGTGTTTGATGCAACCACTGTTTTAGACAAACATGTAAATGAGTTTCTTATCAGTACCTATCCTCAACAGAGATGTTATTCCTTATCAACCGCTAAACTTGCTGGAGGTACAGGATTTGACTGTGCCACTCATATTGTCAGTGTAATAAAAGAACTTGCCAATACATTTGCAGAGTTTAAAAATATGCCAGCAGTAGAAGTTTTAGATGTATTCACTCAAAAAATCAAAAGTTGTCTGTCAGACAGAGCACCTGCTAATAGTTGTGTGAAAAACATGCTTCAGGAGGAGATGCACATTCAATTAATGCAACTGTACTGCAATGCTCATCCATTCGAAACTATTGCCTTAAAAGCATTATTAGTTCTTAAAACAATAGATAATGAGTTGAAGATAAAACCAGCTAAAGGAACTGATGGGGTTGCAGTAACAGTCCTCAAAAATATTTCTAAGCTAAGGTAATCTTTTATATGTATATCTTTTGTTCCAGGGCTATTCCTTAGATATGTTGGTAGTAGATTTCATGTTTTGTTTCATATGGCAGGGATTATTGTTACATACGAAAGACTTATAAAAACCTTTCTTGAAAAGTAAGTTTTTTTTAGATGAATATTTGGTTTAATAGAATTCTATGTATTAACATTTTCTCGTTATTTTAGCAACACCAAAAATGAAATTTGCCAGCTCTTACTTCAAGATATGAGTAATGATATAACGCTTGTGCAACTGCAAGGGTTGGGCCTGATAAGAAAAATAATAACTGGGCCATGGATGAGTCTGGTTTATAAAAATGCATCAGGAAAGAGTAATCTTGAGTTTGTAAGTTTTTAAGGTTTTTTAATAAACAAATAAAGTAGTTTAAAAAATGTTCAAAAATTATTTTTTTATTAGGGTGACATTTTCCAGAAAGCAATAAGGAAATTAGCTTACTTCAAAAGTAATCCAGAATCAATTCTTTATACAGATGTGGATATTTTTAGTCAAGTATTAAATATCAAAAAAGATAAGGTACACCAATCCCTTCGTGTAATAAAAAATAAAAATATTTTGGTAAAGATTTTATCAGCTTTGATAAGCTACACAGAGACAGTTCTCAAAAGACAGATGGCCAGGTATTTGACTGGCAATCTCTCAAATCCATCTAAAGAAATGATAAAAACCACACTATCTGCTCCACCTCATACAATGGAGGTTGAAAGGATCTTGGGCATGCTTGATTTTTTTTTGCGTCGTGCTCCTAATGCTACTATTAGTTTTCTGGATTCTAAAATAAAAGCCAGGTTAAACAAAACATTAACATGGCTTGATGAGAAAACATTGCCAGAACAAGAAGATCTTATTCAATTTGCAATTCCCAGAGGAGCTTTAACGTGTCAAGCCTCTAAAAATTTTAATAATCTTTTGTATGAAGAAATAGGAAAAAGATGCGCCAAAGCTAATTTAAAAAAAGAACGTCTGGAAAGAAAGCAACTAGAGAAGGATATTAAAAGAGCAATAGCTGAAAATGCCAAAACCACAAATCCTCTTTTTGTTAATATTGATGAAAAACAAAAACAAATTTTAGGAGTAATTTTGAAAAATGGAAACTTGATAAATGGGAGCTAGATGATGGTAATATACATTTATTTTTTAGTAGAATTGTTGATCAAAAGGTAGCAACAAAAAAAAAATCTATTACATACACAATAGGATATTGGAAAGTCAATGAAGATGAAGCTGAAGATATTGACATAAGCCAGGAAGGAGTTATAGCAGATCTAATACTTAAAGACTTGGAGTTCATTTAAAAATTACTATAATATATTAGGCATTATCTTTTATTTTGTTTATGTTGATTATTTTGTATACATTTTTATTTATTCCTTTCAGTTTTTAAATATTTTTATATTAACCAAGAGCAGACACATGGTTATTTTACATTTCAGATACTGTACTTATTATTATGAAAACTCTAAGTATAAGTATGTTCAATCATATGTCAAATAAGAATGATTTGCTAAAAAAATGCGGTAGTTAAATCTTAGGAACAAAACTATCTAAAAAAGATAAAAAACCCCTGTCTCAAATGTTAGTTTAATAAGTTAATAAGTTTTTAAGTTTATTATCCAAAACTAAATTTAAATTCACATTTTTCAATGCTCAAAGGTTATGGCCATGTGAAATAATTTCAAAAAATAACTTTAAACATATCAAGAATTATTGGGTCTGTTGATGGATTTAAATGTAGTATAAAATAATAAGTTAAAGTATTTTAATAACTTAGTCCCCTCACATTTTTATGTGGGGGTACAAACTTTTTGGGGTATTTTTGTTCCCTGGCTCCAATCACTTCAATTTTTTATACAATTTTTTTTCACATTCTCATTAGATTTAAGCATGAACAAACTTAAATTTAGATTAATTATGGTAATCTTTTTAATAAAATGACTAGAATCGAATTTGACCCACTTTTAAAATGGGCTTAAACCCCCCCCCCTTCCTTTTTTTTTTTTTATTTAATTTATATAAGAGGGATATAATAAACAGTTTTTATCATATATGTGACAGTAAATTGTTATTATTTTATAAGCTATGTTATAAAGTCCACTTTTTGAAGTCATTTTCTTGTGTATCTTTATTAAGATGTCCACTTTATTTTTATCTTTTTTTATAGTTGACCCCAGATAATAAATTTGGTATAAAAATTTGTCATTTAATAATCTCTATATAATAGAATTAATTTAGTTTAAAAAATAAAAGTTTAAATTTTTAATGAAGGTACCTATATATATATTATATAATTAACTATAAGAAACAAGTATGCACTTTTCTTTCCAAAAAATAAATAATAACACATAAAAAAGAAAATAGAAAAAAAAATTTGATACCTGATGAAGAGTTAATAAAGAAATTTTTTCAAACTGATCAGACCGACCATTTTTTTGTTTTGATCGAGCAAAAGGATAAATTAGTGCTGGATTTAAAATTTCTGAACGTGATCCAAATGATGAAGATTGCCTTGATGCCATTTGTGACATTAAATTAATGTTGACATTGTCTAAGTTGATATCTTCAGTCATTTTTTATTGAAATCTTCTTAAAATTATTGGTTTTCTCAAGAATAAACAATAAACTTTATTGGATTTTTCTATTGTAGAAGTTTAAGAGCTTCTTGATTACAAAAAATTTGGATGAAAAACCATTTGATTTATTTTTTAATAAGAAACAAAAAATATGAAACAAATTAAAACTTGTTTGTTTTTTAATAAGAAACAAAAATATAAGAGACAAAACAGAACTTAAACTTGAATACAAAAATATAAACTATTTATATATTTGAATTTATTTTTAATGCAAACATGAAATTTTATAAATTTAAATGACCAATTAAACAATACATGAACAATTATATGTATAAATATATTAACTCAAATCAAGCCATTTCAATAATTACATTTTAAAAAACACGAAGTTATCTTTAAAGTATATAATTTCTTGAGCATTTTATTTTAGACTTGAGCATCTAATGCAACTTATAATTTTTTACTCATTTTTCCGCAAAACTAAAATTTTACATTAGAATTAAACTATTCAAGTCTATTTTTATAAATTCCTATCACTCTTTTTATAGTAAATATTTACTAAAATTATAATGCATAAAACAAAAACTCTAAATTAAACAGAAACTTTATTTTTTTTAAATTTGTGTACAATAAATTATCTTCATAAAGGATAACTGAGGATAAAAACAGTTAACTTTATATTTAAACGCTTGAATCTGTTTATAAAAGATTATTTTTTTTATGGATAGGCTCAAACATTTATTCCATATATTAGATAAATTTCATAGTATACATGTAAACCCTTTGCCTCCCTAAAAGTAGCTTATTAACTTTAGAATTTTGTTTATAACTAAAAATATTTTTCGTATGCTTCACTGACTTTAAAAGTAAATAAACAGTTTCTTTCTAGTGGTCCGCAATTTTCACGTAGATACGAAGTTATTAAATATAGTAAAATTTAAAATTATACTAGTTTTTATTAAATTTTATCAAAAAATTTATTAAAAATTCTATTAAAAAATTTCATTAAGTTTTATGAAAAATTTTATTAAATATTATTATAAATTTTATTTTAAAAATAAATAAATAAATAGACATATTGTTTTAAAATTTTAAAAAAACGACTCCTGTAGGCGAATATAATCGTTCTCTACTTTTTTTATCATTCTTTATATATTCAAATACATAATAAATTATAATTAACACAATAAATTATGTATTTATATATATAAATTCGAGATCTATGACATTTGCTTTTTTGTTTTACAATAAAATACACGTTTAGCCACGAAAAAAAAGCGCGAAGGGATATTTTACAGTACCAATAACAAAAACGTTGTTCAGATGTTGCACATTGCTTAAGATATTGCACAAATATTAATATATAAATATTAATGTTTACATATGTTTATCAGTGACGGATTTTTTTTTTTGGGGGGGAGAGGGAGGATATTGAAACATTTTGCATTTTGTACCACCTTTGGGTCTCTCTTAAAAAAAAAAAAAAGGTCCTTAATTCCAAAGATATTTTAGGACTTTAAGCTTCTGGTAGGGGGATGCATAACCTAATGCCACTCCCCCCCAAAAAAAGTTCCAGGATCCGTCACTGATAAACCTATATAAACATTGTTATAGTTTTTTGTAAAACTTATATATATATAAATTTTTTGCAAAGCCAATGATTTTTTTTTTTTTATTAAGAAAATTCTAAATATAGAAAACTTTTAAAATTGACGATTATGCCCCTCCCCAACCCACCCACACCCTCCCTCCTCACATCCATACACACTTTGATATTGATATTTATAACCATATTTTTTTTAATTTTTTTTTTTAAGTTGATTAAGGTGCCCCAAGAAGTCCTTACGGCCTTATCACAGAGCACCGCGGAAGAGCATTTAATAGGAAGTTCACACCTCCTTCCCAACCGATGTCGCAAAACTTGACCAGAGGTGGGGTTTGAACCACGACGGATCTTTTGTTTCTGAGGCAAGTGCGCTACTACTGCGCTAAGGCTGCTTTTAAACTTGCTTATAACTTGCTCTACAATAGATATAATAGGCCGGGTGAATAAAAATGTGCAAATGCTTCTTTTCAGTAATTGGTCAACTTTACGTGAATAAAAACTTTAGGAATTTTGCTTAAGTTTTTATTCGCGTAAAGCTGAACAACTACTAAGTAAACTGCTTAACTTAACGTGAATAAAAGTTTGAGCAAAACTCCTACAGTTTTTACTCACGTAAAGCTGACCAAATACTGAGTAAAAGCAATTGCTCATTTTTATTCACCTGGCCTAATATATCTATCATATATGATAGATATATTATTCTATTGTAGAGCAAGTTATATGGTTATAAATATCATATGTTAAAAATTTGTGTCCATTCTTTAACATAAACATAAAAAAGATAAGGCTGATATGGTATCATTACATGTTGTAATGATATTGCTGTACTCTATGAAAAAGGTTGTAAATTTCAATCTTTTTATGTTGTTTCAATACAATAATCGTAAATATATTATCAAATCTGATCTAGACTTTAACTTACAATATATAATTTACTAACGTTAAAGAAAAAATCAGGGCCGACAACACCGACCCCCCTTCCCCCAACACACACTTTTTTTTTAAGTACTTTTTTTTTTTAAAAAATTTTAAACTTCTTAATTTAGAAATTTACGTAATAGAATTGACGAATGTGCCCCCTCTTTTTGAAACCCATGTCGTCGGCTCTGAAAATTACATTATGGATGTCCCCTAGCGCCGTAAAAATAATTAAAAAACGTGTTGACATATAAAATTAGAAATAACAAGTTAAGTAAAAAGCTAAAAGAAGAACCATTTTTAATTTAAAAAAACCAAGAGAAAAAACATTTTAAAAAAAAAGGTAAAGGAAAAAAAACCACCTTTTATAAAAAGCCAAATTAAAGAAATATCTCAGATATAAAGCCAAATAAAAGCAATCTTAGAAAAAGGGATTATCACAAGGAATACTACTTTTAGAAAAACCATTCTGGCGTCCAAGTATGATAGAAGAAAAAACAACTACAAAGTGTATAGAAAAATGTAAATATACTTATTTGAAATAGAAACAATAACGTGTATTGCTACAATCAAATTTATTAAAAGAGTTTAAAGTACTGACACAGAAAAAAAGTTAATTTTTTATTCTTGTTTTATTTTTACTATTGTTTTAAAAAAAACCTTTTCTTGTTGTTGTTGTTCAAGTATAGAAAATCTTTTAAAAAATTGTGTACAACACTCAGTTTGTAATTTTCCTTTTTAAAAAAACTATATTATTTTAAGTCAATTTTATTTTATTATAATGATTTTTAAAAAATTTTAATGCAAGATTATAAAATGACTGCCAAGACAAATAAAACAGAACTTCATGTTTTTAAATCGGTTCAAGCGAATCTGATTCTTAGATCTAAAATCTTAGAGTGTTAAAAAGACATGAAAACGTTTGAAAAAAAATGTTAGATATTACCATTAACTGAGGTTCTTTTTTAATGAATAAAGTAAATTTTTTTCAATGGCAATAGTTAAGTTCTTCATCGTTTGTTTTAAAGATCTTGCTCTCAAAATCATCTCAAAAAGATGTATTTGAAAATGATTGCGTAACGTGTAATCAATTTTTGAGCATATATTTCAAAGTATTTCAAACTTATCGATTAGGATGGATCGATTTTAAAAATTTTTGAAATTTGATTTGCCTGAGCTGCGAATCGATGTCTTTTGGTGAAAAAAGAATCTTACTTTTTTTTTTTTTCTAAATTATATCAACCTGGTACTCAAAAGAAGCATAATAATACGCTTTTGAATATAACATTTGTTTTAATTCAAAACTAAAGAGAAAAAAATGTCGTTTTTTTCATTAAAAAACCTTCGTCTTCATCAAAACGGGGGGTTTTTTTAATGAAATAAACGACATCAAAAATATTTTTTTTTAATAAAAAATTTTTTAAATAAAATTATTATTGATAAAACAAGCATTTTTTTCTGCTTTTTTTTGAGTCCAAGGTTGATATAGTTTAAAAAAAATAAAAAATTTTAAAATATTAGGATCCGTCAAGGATTTAGAATCTAAAGAGGAACCTAAAGATGTCATCAAAATCAAAAACTATTTTTTTACTTTCATCTTATAATTAATAGACATCGATTCGTGTCTAAGGAATATTGATTTTTAAACTTTTTTTTTTTTGCTATTAAAATCGATCTACCCTATTATCGATAGATTAAGATAATTATTTTAAAAAATACAAAAAAAAAAAAAAAAAAAAAAAAGAAATCATTTAAGCGCAGCTTGTTTAAAAAAAATAAAAAATTTAAGCATTGTTTTAGTTAATTAGTTTAGTTTTTTTAAAGAAGTTATGTTATGTTATTTTGTTATGTTATTATATTATGTAATTAATGTTATGTTTTACTATCAAGAAGGGAGTTTTACAAACGCAGTCGATATGAAATTATGTCCGATTTTGTAAGTAATAAACGGAATAAAAAATTTAATTAAAAGGATAATCTTTGTGCAAATATATATACAAAACTAAATTTTTAGAATTGTATATACTTAAACAATATAGTCTATAAATTTA